TATATAGTATGGGGGGGGGGGGTGGGTACCTGGGGTAAGGGTAATGTTTGGTTGGGATGGCTGTTGTCTCTAGGTACTTGGTTGTCACCTATGTGCTGCTGGGTGAGTTTCCTTCGATGTATGTGTATAATCTATGGGAAAATGGCCGCTATAATCTACATATTAATGTGGTTCTTTTCAATCATATGTATTCATATTCATCCATATATATATGTAAATTAAGGGTTATATATGCAGTATGACCATATGGTCAGAGTCTGTCCAAATATTGCAATAATTTGAGATTGATATCATGCAGTTTTAAAAGCTCCTTGTGTATCATGAAAATCCATGGGAAAATGGCCGCTGTGCTCCACCTAATGATCCGACTTCCTATAAAAGGTGTCCGTGGTCAATATATTTATTTATATTGTAAAGCGCTGAGCAAACTGTTGGCGCTATATAAATCCTGTATAATAATAATAATAATATATATATATTGAAATACATTTTGAAATATATTGAATACGGCCAAATTTGTAGTATTTCAAATATATGCCAATATATTTCGGAAAAATATTTCAAAAATATATTTAAAATATATTTTTTCTTCCATGTGGGATGTTTTCCCACCAGACTGCTCCTTCTCCTATCCGCCAAGGGGGTGCAGGTGTACTCACTCAGATCCTCTCCTGTACTGCTGGTGGGTTGGTGGCTGCTACCAGGTCTATCAGCTGGGACGCTCCTTCCCTGCCATACAGGTGGTCCTCGCTCTGGGAGCCAGTGAGCTCTGAGCTTTCCTCCTTTCCAGCTCCAGGCTTGTAGGTAGGCACCATCTCACTGAGTCTTCTCGCAGCCTCCTGCCTTCAGCCTCACATCTTCCTCACTGTCTTCCACCCGAATTCTCTTGCCACTGAGCAGGCTCCAACACTCTTAAAGGTGTCCCAGCCCCTTACCAAGCCTTCTGTTGGAGATTAGCTAGGATCCCTTAAGAGTGCAAGCCAGCCACTCCTCCGATTCACCCTTTGTCTCTAGGCCTTCCTACAAAGCCCTAGAGAAGGGGGAAATTCCAGAGGGGGCTGGCCTTTAGAGCCTTTCAGCTACTGACCACAATTTACCTTCCGGCTATTACACCCAGGCTGCTACTCAGCCCTCCTCGCTATCAATTGAACACTAGCTCCCCCTAGCTAACTAGGAGGGTGCTACAAATGTATGAAGTGTATATAATAACTTAGGTACAGATTCTGTTTACCAATCCCTCATTAATCCCCTTCTGAAGTTAGGCAATGTCTGGCCATGTACACACACCGCAGAACTTATTTTTCTCTTTTATCCCAGGGTGCCCCAGGTCTTTCATAATCCTAGTCATGCTGAGGTTTTATTTGTAAACTCAGGCAGATTACTTGCTATGAGTATTGTTAATGTTTACATATTGTTTATACTGTTTAAACATCAGTTGTCATAGTTTATAGTAGGAGTTTCTGTCAAATCATGGGGGGGGGTTGCCAACCCTGAGAGGCAGCAATACCTCTCTTCTGCCAGTAAAGTAGCGGGCTACAGAGGTTTCACAATTGGCTCTGGCAGTATGCCTGATGTGTGGTTAACATTAAATATAGTCAGTCAGGATCGAAGAGAAAAGAAATAGGAAGTGACAGCTCAACATGTACAGTAGACAAGAGGGCAGAGGGGAGGGAATAACATAGAGGAATGTGAGTACAGTGATATTCACAGAATAATCCAAATTAAAAGGTATGCGCTAATAACAAACTTATACAAAAGTGTATGTCATCATCCAAAAAACATTAGTGTTTTAAATAAATTAGAGTGTCCAAACATAAATTAGTGTCCAAAAAAATATATATATCTTCAGTGACTTGAACCAATTGTGAGAAATCCACCACCAAAGGAGATTAAATGAACTCACCAGAGCTAATGGCTGGTCAGATTATAAACCAGCAACAGCACTTGTGCTCTGGGAGCAATGAACCCGATGTCCAAATAGATATGGTGATGTTTCAGATACTTCCAGATAATAATCACAGCCAAACAACTTTGCAGCCCAAGCTCTTATGATGAACTTCTCCACTCTGTCTCATACCTCCATGAGAGCATGCAGTACACTCAGGGACAAAAAAGAGAACTTAATGGTGCAATACGTTTTTTTCATTTATCTCTTTAATAAAAAAGATATAAGGAAACTCACAAACAAGGTGTCCAACAGACACCAGCTTCAATCGCAAAAAAGGGTTGAGATACAGTTAACGCTCACCGCAGATCTCTCCCATACAGCACAGACCAGCAAGGCTCTCTAACATCCACATCAAATAGGCTACGCCCAACCGGTTTCGTCACACCGACGTCACCCGCCCCTTAATGACGTCGGTGTGATGAAACCGGTTGGGCGTAGCCTATTTGATGTGGATGTTAGAGAGCCTTGCTGGTCTGTGCTGTATGGGAGAGATCTGCGGTGAGCGTTAACTGTATCTCAACCCTTTTTTGCGATTGAAGCTGGTGTCTGTTGGACACCTTGTTTGTGAGTTTCCTTATATCTTTTTTATTAAAGAGATAAATGAAAAAAACGTATTGCACCATTATGTTCTCTTTTTTGTCCCTGAGTGTACTGCATGCTCTCATGGAGGTATGAGACAGAGTGGAGAAGTTCATCATAAGAGCTTGGGCTGCAAAGTTGTTTGGCTGTGATTATTATCTGGAAGTATCTGAAACATCACCATATCTATTTGGACATCGGGTTCATTGCTCCCAGAGCACAAGTGCTGTTGCTGGTTTATAATCTGACCAGCCATTAGCTCTGGTGAGTTCATTTAATCTCCTTTGGTGGTGGATTTCTCACAATTGGTTCAAGTCACTGAAGATATATTTTTTTTTTTGGACACTAATTTATGTTTGGACACTCTAATTTATTTAAAACACTAATGTTTTTTGGATGATGACATACACTTTTGTATAAGTTTGTTATTAGCGCATACCTTTTAATTTGGATTATTGTTGCCAAAATTTATTTTGGGTGGGATATGCTGCTGACACTTTGGTGTTTTTTGTAAGTGGCGCTTTTTTCTTCTTTTTTAATTTGGTATATTCACAGAATAGGCATAAATGCTTTAGAAAAATATGTTGTTGTTGTCACGAACACGGTGTCAGACCCCAGCCCTTCTCACCAAACTCGTGACCGAAGGACTAGCCAATCTAAAACTGCGCTGTCACGTGCGTAACAATGCCACACTCAGCTGCACCCTGCACAACGATTTTCCAGCTAATTGGACCACAATTGATGTACCAGCAGCCTGAGCGATTGTTACTGGGTTCGGTTAATTATGCAATTAACCCTTCACACTGCCACCACCTCCTTTTTGTACAGAGAAAGAGAAAACTCGGCGATATCAGTTATAACACTATAATGGTTGAGGTAATCATCTGTATAACACGGTTATCCAGAGGGTTAAACAAACACAGTAGCGTTCTCTTTAGAGGCAAGAATTCGTAAATTGCAATTAATCGGTATAGAAACAGTTCAACACTTTCAGAAGGAAAGATTTATTACTAAAAGATCAAACGGGTGCAATAAAAATATTTACAGAAAAAGATGTAACTAAGATATATATATAAATATACAGAGATCAACAGCACAGCAAAGAGATATCAGAGAGAGATGAAAGGGTTAAGGTACTTGCCAAAGTCCTGGGTTAGCAGATCCAAGTTTCAGACCGAAAGGGCACGGGTCTCCCCAGGTGGTACTAATGTTAAAATGGAAGACGTCTTCAACTTCTTCTCTTAGGCCTGACAGCCCAATTTGTAGTTCCCCAGCAGGGGGTGCCTTTGAAGTCAAGGACCAATACCCCGTTTTGGGTGTGGAGGTCTGGGCGGATACCTCAACTAAAGCCAAAATCTCCCTTAACTCATATTTTGGCCCATAACTTTCCATCTGCACAAGTGACATTCCACCCGCGGGTAGATTATTATGCAGACACGTCTGAGGATTGATTAGATATGAATTATGAAATTATACACTGAACGGTTCACGAGATCTAATTTTTGGCTTTCCTATGTATTCGAGACAAGGCGAGTGACACATCAAATTGTTCGTCTCCTCTTAGCCAATCTGACGATATGTCTGGTTTTTATGTAAGTCTCTTATATTCTAAGATATGAGACATAGGGGAAAAATGGATTTTGAAAAGTGGTTATCCTGGGAATGTTCTTTGAACTCCTGGGAAAGCTTGCTTTATCTTATACGAGGTGTTACATGGTACACCTCGCCCAGACAGCCAGGCACCTAGCTCAAAAATATTTTATTGCTCTGGGACACACAACCAGCACACACACACTGGCCAAATGTCTCTGTGCCTCTCAGAGAGGGAGGGGGAGAAGTATTAGGGGAGAAAATGGATATTCTCAACAAAATGGAGGCCTGCGTTAGTCTCTGGGTATACGCTGTTACAGTTGTTTATTTTTAAACTTTATAATTTGCAAATCATGCAGAAAACTAGGCACACTTTTCTACTCTGATGTCATGAACTATTTTGTGCAGATCATACAACCCCAGTAAAATATTTTTCAGTTCCAGATTGTAAAATTAAAAAATGCAAAAAAAATGCAAAAAAAAAAAAAAATATATATATATATATATATATATATATATAAAAAGTCATACTTATGTAAAGCTTTGTACATATGATCCAGCTAGATTTCTCTTCTGCTTGTTCTTTTTTCAAATGATTTGATAAATGAGGCCCAGACAACTAAAACAAATCACTGAGTAGTCATTGTTAAGGGTATTGCTCTATGTACTGTATTGATTTATTTACTTTACTTGCCTTTCTTAATATGATATTTAAAATAAAAAAAATTAAGCTAAAAAACTGAATATACTTCCCTTTTTTGTTCCTAGTTAAGTTTCCTAATGACTTGCTTAAGTTCCGTAAAATTAAAATCTAGTGCTGTGCAATTTCTTGTTTAGACACAGATTGCTCAGAGTACGGAGTCCTATTTTTCAGCTTGGTGCCATGAGGAAAACTGAAGATCTGAGGATGAACTCAGGTAATCCATACATATATATATATGATAATTTATTTATACTGAGGGAGGCAGACATCCTGCCAATCAACCTTATTAAAAACCTTAATGTGACAAGTAACCGCATTACTGGTTTATCAATAGTATTCAGGGACATGGATAAGGGGGTACCACCAGTCCTTCTGTACAGGGCCCAGGCCAGAATGGGGGCCCCAGGCAGCTGGCTGATTTGGAATTGGGCAGGGAGGGTGATCAGCACAGCAGGGGTGCAATTATTGGAACCGATCCCCTGTATGGATCTCTCTGCAGCAGCTGAAAGCTGGCTTCTTCCTCTCCAGCCAACTGGATTTCAGCTGCTGCAGAAAGAGCCATGCAGGGGATCTGTTCCAGTAATTGCCCCCCCCCACCACACCCATCACCCTTCTTGTGCACCATATGTTTCTCCATGCTGCCCAGGCCCCCCCCCGTGCGCCCCACCCCCGCAGTGCTGCAAGCTTTCCTCCTCTCTTTCCCACAATAGGATCCTTCAGGATGGAAAGTAGGGGAAGGGTCCGGTAAATAGGTTTTCCTTTCCTAAATGAACACAATGAGTGATTGGTACCAATCACTCACTATGTTTATTCATAACTGAAGCATAGTAAACTGGGGTTTTTTTTTAGGGGGGCCCTGTCAGGTTGGCTGTATGGGGCCCCATGGTTTCTAACAGCAGTCCTGCTTGTGTTAGGTGGAATTATTTGGGTGAAACTGATATCACTGTGAAGTTACTAATTTCACTATTGGCAACGTTTCCTTGAAAAAGAAACTCATTCATTGAGCTGCTTATGCAATAGTTGCCTGGAAATACAAATCAATCTACTCCCCTTTTTTCCTAATGTTTGGGGTGGTGTGTTAAAGGTAGCTTATTTGATTTCCTTTAGTGTTTCTTGTATCCACTTGAAGACCAGGCTTTTTCTGGCACTTTTTGTTTATATGTAACAATCAATATTTTTTGCTAGAAAATTCCTTAGAAACATTAATTTTTTTTTTTTTAAAACAGAAGCCCTAGAGAATAAACTGGTGGGTTTTGCAATTTTTTTATGTGTTTCGGTATTTGCTTAGCAGTTTTTCAAACGCAATTTTGGGGAAAGATATTATTTTTTTAATTTTATTGCAAAAAAACCCACAATTCATAACCCACTTTTTTGTAAAATGTAAAAGATGACGTTATTCCGAATAAGTAGATACCAAACATCTCGCATTTTTAAATTGCGCCTGCAACAAACAACGTAAATGTTACTATCCATAGGCACCGCTTTAAAAGCCTTATTACTTTAGATTTGCAGAGGAGGTCTGGTGCTAAAATTACTTGTGGCAATACTTCACATGTGTGGGACAATCGCTGTTAGCGTGTGTGCGCAACGGCGCACGTGCATCCGCTTTTCACGTAAGCATGTGGGGGGTAGGGGGGTGGAAGCAGTTTAATTTTTTTTATCATTTCTTTTATTTTTATTTTTCCACTGTTACTTAAATTTTTTTAAATCACATGTATTGTTGTCACACGCTGTTTAAACATTCCTTGTGACAGTGATAGGCATGTGATAGATACTCTTTATGGAGAGATCTGGGGTCAATAAGACCCCAAATCCCTCCTCTGCCCTTAAAAACATTTAATTACACCAAGAGCGGTGTGATTAAATGCTTTTCTTTTTTAAAAAGGGCGTTGTTTGTTTACGAGTAAACTGTAAACGATGTAAGGGCAACAATTTTGGGTTACTATATCATAGAGCCGAGCAAAGACTGGATCAGCTTTGCAGAAGCGCAGAAGTGCTGGCTGGTCGATTGGGACTCCCAGAGGGACAGGAGAATTTGATAAAGCCGAGGAAGACAGTGAGGAGGGATTCCCCTCCCGCTGCTCCAATTGCTATTACAACAGAGCTAACCGTTGGCTCTAAAATACGATATCGGGATGCAGGTATCATCCCAGTATAGTGGCTCAAACTCCAGTGATGTACGGGTATGATGCTGAAGCTGAAAATAGTATTGGTGTTTTTTCTTTTTTAGTATGCTTGACTATTATCTGTGTAATGTTTTTATATACTGTATACTTTATTCACTGCTTGTTTTTTTCTCCCTACCAAAAACACAAAATAAGGAGGCTTTTGATGGCCTTTTTGGCAAAAGAACAGATTTAGGACAGTTTAAAGAAGGGTTCTATAACCCTCAGCGACAATTTAAAGCCCATGGAATCCCTAAAGAATTACTCCCACTTGTAATTAGTACATCATATAGCACTTTGTCATGTTCTGATCAGTGTCCCTGCTTTGGATTGAAAGCACCTCTTTATTTTCTATTAATGCTGGCTGTGGCTCCACCCCATTGTGGTTCCAATTTATGGAAAATACTGTGGGGGCACCTACAGCCAGCACTGAGCCCTCTCTAAGCTGTCTGTTTTTATATTTTTTTGAATGAACACTCATTCATAGGAGTAAAAGATCAGTCCATGCTGGCGGAGCTGTGTGATCTCCGTACAGTTACTTGTAAACATACGCAGTCCCGGCAGATAAATCACATAGCCCTGCAGCCCTGAACAATCTTTTACTATTATGAATGAACAAACAGTGCAGCAGAGCTGTGTGATAGAGCTGCCAGCTGCTAGTAAATATACTGTACAGGGCACTGACAGCTCTATCTCACAGCCCCAACAAATTTTGGTCAGAAAGCGGCATGCAAACTGTCCAACAATTCTGCTTAGCAATGGCAGGATGGATAATAATGGGACCAAGTACTACATGCACTAAGTCTCCTGGGGGTTAAATAAAAGCTTAAAAACTTTGGTGAGATATCTTCCTTAAAAAACACATTCATTTCACCTTCAGAATCAATGGTTTTTGTTTAAGGAAGTTTACAAAAACCATAAAAATGAGTAGAAGAGCGACAATTCCAAAGTAGAAACTCTGATGACATAGCTAGACAAAGCCACATACAAATCGAAAGCATATATAGCACAAAAGTTGTCTGTCAAGTATAAAAAAATTATCACTGTAGTACTGGCTGTAAATTGCTGTCACTCAACTGGGAACTATTAAACAAATAATACAGATAAAGAAAAACCAATAGAGCTAAAGGTGGGTGTGCGCCAATCCCCAAGTAAAATGTTGAGAGGTGTAGGCCCACATCCAATTCATCCAGTAAATGCCAACAAAGACATTATGAAATACGGTTCTGTGACGGGAGTGACTTTGGGTGGGGGGCCCATGGAACACAGCTCACTTTGGAGGGGTGGGTAGGCCCCTGTCTCAGCTCCCCATATCCTTCTTATGTGTAAGTCACCCTGTGCCTGTTAGGGGTTGCAGGGTGATATGTCCTAATATTGTGTAGACATGTATAGGAGATAGGTGGGGGTTGTTGATTGTTTGGTGTTATGTGATTGCATCCCATTGTTCTATTGTGTGTCTTGTTTGGGAGCAAACTATTATGGGATGTATGTGTTTGTGTATTGGCTTGGTGGGGGGGTGTCTGCTGATGTGTTTCTTGTTGCTAGATTTGGTTTGCCCCGCCTTGTGTCCTTATCTTGTGTCTGTGTTAAAATAAAGCAGTCTATTTCCTGGTTTCCTTCAAGACTGGTGGTCTCTAGTCTTGTTTGAACAGTGGTGGGGTCTGTGGTCGGTGTTCGGACAGGAAAGCGGGAGTCTAACGGAAATACCCTAGTGCAGTCAGGGTCCGGTTCTGTTACAGGTTCCATTTACCAAAAACAGATATATCAATTTTATAACAGCTATATAAACAATCTAAAGAAATGCGATTAAAGTGCCTAGTCCACTCACAGCAGAGGATGACGTAACTGAAAGGAAAAAAGGGAAAAAAAACAGAAGAAGAAAGTAAGTGAGGAGAAAGAAGTAAATACTGGACCCACTTGACTTGACCACCGCCACCCCCCAAGGAAGCCCACCTAAGGATGACAATTGGAGGAAATTAATCCAAGGTGTCCAGACCCAGTAAAACCTGGCCTTATGTATTGCATAGGATGCTTGCTAATTTTTCATGAACCATAATCCAAGACATTTTTTGTTTATTGTGCGCATAGATAATTGTCAACATTTTCCACGCTCTGGCATTAATTTCACCTTCTATATTTTTTTATTAGTAAATTTTATAAACATGGTGACATTTTTTAAAAATCCCCAAATTTTAGCTAAAATTTCAGAGAAATAAAAACTCTCAATTTTACTCATTCTTAACACACTAATATGGATTACTGATCGATAAGACAATATATGTGTCATATCACCAGAACTAATAAGAGCTGCAGAAATAGGAAGAGAAACAACTGGGCTTGGGAAAACATGCCAAAAAGTTTGTCAGAACACAGCTAAAAAGCACTGTAAGTACTTTAAGTGTCTTTCTGGTGAGGCTCCATGCACACTAGTGTTTCATAAGCTTGAAATGCTAGAATACAAATCTGGATGAAAAATGCTGATAATAGTGTTTTTGTGCAAACTTATAGTACCACTTAAGTAGTGTTTAGGAGTGTTAGCGTTTTATGAGTGTTTTTTAAAGTATATGAAGAGAACAAAATGCTTGAAAAAAGCTAATTAGGAGCATTTTAGTAGCATTTAGATTCGTTCAGCATTTTTTTCTGCTAGGAAAATGCTCCCAAAATCTCTACAAAAACAATTTTTTTTTGCTCCTAGACCCTGAAGTTTGAAAAATGCTTCTAGCATAAAATAGTGTGCTTAGACACATAGGATAACACTATTAGCTTCTAGGAGCAGAAAGATAAATGCTCAGAATAGCTTCTAGGAGCTTAAAAAACGTTAGTGTGCATGGAGCTTAAATATTGGCAGATCCTATTTATAAATGTCCCGATTCATCATGATCCCTGAAAATATTGGATCACCAGTTTACACAAGAGGAAAACATTCACGTCTATCTTGAATCCCAATGTACCCAATCTAGTTTGCTCATTCTTCAAATATTTAAGTGACTATGTGGCTTTCCTAAAGTGTGAAAAAAAATTACCCTTAATATTTGCCTTCTGTTGACAT